TTTTTTTTTTTGTTCTTTAAGAAAATATAATTTTCATTTAAAAATATTTACCAGTTTAATTACCTTAAAAAAATTACTAAAGAGATGGAATTAAAGAACATGGTTGCCCTCGTTTCTCGTACTGGACGACATATGCAGCGTTACAACTTTCACGGCCATCGTCAAGTTGTTGGGTTCGTTTCTCTCTCTAACTCTGTCTCTCTTTCTCAGTCTCTCTCTCTCTTAATCACCCGTAATTAAAGATTAATTTCATGTTTATCTCCATAATTTTGTTCTTGTTTTTTACTTAGTGGGGGCCAATTATTGCTTTTTGGCCGAGTAATTAAGAGTTGACCTCACAGCCAGTCAACTTTTATTAAGGAGTAAAAAGAATGGGGAGATTTTACTGTATCATTCCGTCGGGATCATGACAGTTATACAATGATTTAACAGTTTCAAATACCGCACAATGATTCTTTAACGGGATAGATAATTAACTAGATTGGGTTCTCTTAAGTGATAATGTTCTTAAAAATTTTAAAAATAAGAATTTATTTTGTTATGAGTGTGCAATTTAATATCACGATTGCCAGATTATGGGAAGAGTATTTTTGTTGAAATAAGTCTTTTTTTTTTTTTTTAATTAGTTTGAGCAAATTAAATTAAATTAAATTATCAGAAATCATTTTCTATGGAGTGTATCGTGTGTTGGGAGATGATGAATCTTTGAGAGGAATATTAATGATTTTTCAGTTAATTTGGATAGATCAAGGATTTTTCCTTGTCGGTGTCGGTTTTGACTTAATTCCAACTATAATATATTTAAATTAGTGGATAGGTAAAATTAACATGAGAAGTTTCTTCGACTATTACTATGGAGAAATTGAGATCTTCAATGATTTGCTTAAAAATTTGCTTAACCTCGTAGCGTAGTCTTGTAACTTTCGACTTTTGTTAAGTTTTGCCTCCCTCTTTGTATCAAAAAAAAAAAAAATTAATAATAATATTTTTTTTGCTCTATTCTTTTTAAAAGAAAATGCAATTATT